TCCACGTTGTTAAAATACCCAGACGGACAAAGGGAGGAACTATAAATACACTGGGAGAAAAGTGATTTTATTTTTAAAAAATAATTGTAGAAAAAGAAGATGTTTAAAGTATGATGTTAGCTTAAGATACCATAGTGGAAAAGATGAATAAATTTGCACATCCAAGAAATATTTATGTATGACAAATATGTATTAAGTTAAAAGCTAAATTGGAACAACATTTCTAACTCAATGGATATATGTTGTTGTTCAGGTGCTAAGGCGTGTCTGATTCTTTGTGACCCCATGGACTGCAGCACACCAGGCTTCCCTGTCTGCCACCATCTCCCACAGTTTGCTCAGGTGCATGTCCATTGAGTTGGTGATGTCATCCAAGCATCTCATCCTCTGTTGTCCCCTTCTCCTCCTGCCTTCAATCTTTCCCAGCATCAGGGTCTTTTCCAGTGAGTCAGTTGGCCAAAGGATTGGAGCTTCAGTTTTAGCATCAGTCCTTTCAGTGAATATTCAGGGTTGATTTCCTTTAGGATCAACTGGCTTGATCTCCTTGCAGTCCAAGGGACTCTCAACAGTCTTTTCTAGCACCACAGTTTGAAGGCATCAGTTCTTTTATGCTCAGCCTTCTTTATGATCCAATCTTGATGTCCATACATACCTACTTGGAAAAACCATAACTTTGACTGTATGGACCTTTGTCAGCAAAATGATGTCTTTGCTTTTTAATACAACATCTAGGTTTGCCCTAGCTTTTCTTCCAAGGAGGATATATCTACTCTTGTATATGTATATGTATACATGCATACGTAGTATTCCAATATATTAAAGAAAGATTTATATGCTATATAAAGAGAACTCATAAATGTATAAGAAAAATACCAACTCAATAGAAAAATGGATAGTGTGGGAATAAGTAATTCCTAGGGAAAGAAAAAAGCATGCTTAATCTCATTAATAGAGAAGAACAAATTATAAGAAAATACAAATTGCTTCTTCATCTGATAGAGATTTTAAAAAATGGTAATGCCTAATACTGTAACTTCTAGAAATTTTAACAAAACATCAATAACGCCTGATACTGCTAACGGTATGAGAAACAGGGACTTTTTATTCCCTTTTTCGTTAGAGGTGATGGGAACGGACACTTTTTGGAAGTGCAACTTGGCAGTATCATTCGAAAATGCTTTAGGCTGCATTTAACCTGACAGCTTCACTTTTGGGAGGTTGCCATGTGGATGTGGCTGTACAGGCAGGATGCGCGAAAGGAGATGGGCGGGTACCGCACAGCCAGCCTGCCTCTGTTCACAGGAAAGGCTTCTCATGAGACGCTGTGAGCGGAGAGAGTATAGCTTCTTTTGTGTTAAAATCAACCAGATCGCCAGTCCAGGTATGATGCATGAGACAAATGCTCAGGGCCGTTGCACTAGGATGACCCAGAGGGATGGGATGGGGAGGGGGGTGGGAGGGGGGTTCAGGATGGGGAACACATGTAAATCCATGGCTGATTCATATCAATGTATGACAAAAACTACTACAATATTATAAAGTAATTAGCCTCCAACTAATATAAATAAATGAAAAATAATAATAATAAAATTAAAAAAAATAAACCAGGTGGGTGCTTAATTAACAACATCTCCATGGGATTTACATGCAAGGGAGTGTTCCGAACTGTCAAACAGGAGAGGTCTGGGAAACACGTCTGGGGTGGTCGGGGGAGGAGATGAAACTGGCCGGGCCCTGGCACCTTTCACTCGTATAATCTACACTGTTTCCGGTTTAAAATAATGAGCATATGTTCCTCATATAATCTATACTTAAAGTCTTTATTTGCCTTTTATTGAAAACCCATCCCGTTGAGGAGCAAACACTGTGTTATGAATTAGAAGACGTTCCTCTGTGCAGACCTACTGTGCCCATGCTCTGAGGCTCAGAATCCAGAGACCAAGTCCCCCGTAGGGCTTTATGGAAAACAGTGACTGTTCAGCTTTGTTCTCATTAGATTTTTTTGTTCTTGTTTAGAAAAAGTGAAGTCCTGTCTTTTAAAAAGATGGTAATCACCAGCCCAGGTTGGATGCATGAGACAAGTGCTCGGGCCTGGTGCACTGGGAAGACCCAGAGGGATCGGGGGGAGAGGGAGGTGGGAGGGGGGACCGGGATGGGGAATACATGTAAATCCATGGCTAATTCATTTCAATGTATGACAAAAACCACTGCAATGATGTAAAGTAATTAGCCTCCAACTAATAAAAATAAATGGAAAAATTTTTTAAAAATTAAAAAAATAAAAAATAAAAACAATCGTGACCTAGAAAAAAAAAATAAAAAGATGGTATTCTCTTTGACAAAGAGGCCAACCACACACACACAAAGTATCTTCATATTTCTTAAATTGCCTTGTTATTACTGCTGTTATTATGTCAGTATTTTTCCCCATGTTTATTTATGCCTCTCGGTAAGACTAATTCTTTCTCTGTTTCAGAGTTTTCCCAAAGGGGATATTATCGGTTTTCAGATCAGGAAATCCCATGTGTCCGTGCTGTCCACTCCAGGGTGCTGCGTTTCCCCTCGTGTCCACCCTTGGCAGCTGGTCCACACCCAGGGCTGGAGGAGGGTGTTCTAGGGCACAGAACAGGCATTCTGAGGGTGGGCAGTGTGTGCGTGAACATGGGCTGTGGCCAGAGAAGGCTCTGCAGAGAAAGCTGCACAGGAATTCAGACGGACTTCCTCCGGGAGGTCGCTGACCCATGGGGCTGGCTGAGAGGTTTTAGCTCCTAAGACGTCACAGGGCAGCCAGGTCAGCAAAGGCCACATACAGCCCGTGGCCAACTTGAAATCAGATTGCATTCCAACAGTGTGTAAGCATGACTGAACGCTGTGTGTGTGTGTGTACTTGAAGAAACAGAACTCCGTGGCGTTCCATGGAAAGGCATCGGGTCCTTGCTCTTCTGTCTGATTTGCTCACTATGGAAGGAGGTGTTCCCAGCCCCCTGAGCTCTAGCATTGCAGAGTGGGTCTTCTGTCTAACTGGGTGATGGGTTTGGGGTAAGAAGGATGGAGGAGTTGGTCTGTCTGATGGGATCTCAGACCCTCGTCCCCAGCCTGGGCAGGAATAAGAAGACCTGCCTGACACAGCCCACTGCTCCGTGCCCAGGCCTGGGCCATGCCTGTGGTGGAAACAGAGACCTTGCTTCCTTGGGCACTTGATTCTTTTGGAACCACTCCAAAGATGGGGTGGCTAGACCGAGGCAGCAGCATGAATTTTGATGAGATTGGGTGTTTTCGGGTGGTATGGCCATAGAGGGCACCATCATGAATCCTGGGTCTCTTGGCCACATGCCGTGATGGTGCTGGAATATGGCTGCCCCTTCCTAGCAGCCCAGCCCCCATCCCCAGCACAGTGGCGTTGAGATCCATCCCGCCCCCCAGCACTTGGGCATTACTGGGCACTATGCCCCACAAGTCTTGAAAGTTACCACGTGGAAAGAACCCTTGCCTTGAAGGAGGGATGAGCTCGTGCTAGAAAAACTGTCTGACCAGGTTCTGACTGGGTCCCCAGGGAGCAAGAGCTTCAGGGCTCAGACACCACGCCTCCTAAGCTGCTGCTCCCAGAGCAAGAGTGAGTCCTTGAACATCACCGACAGGATTCCCGTCCTTCCAGGAGGACATCCTCAGCCGTAGGTGGGAGACAGCCCTAGCCTGTTAAGATGTGACAGTGCGTTTGGAAGGACACTTTCCATCCCGGAAGGATGGAAGGAGGTGCCTGCAGAGGCTGGAATGGGACAGTGCCCACCGTCCTCGGGATTTCCAGGGTCCCTGAGTAGCTGGGCTTCCTGGTGGCTCAGATGGTAAAGAGTCTGCCTGCGGTGCAGGAGACCAGGGTTTAGTCCCTGGGTTGGGAAGATCCCCTGGAGAAGGGAACGGCAACCCACTCCAGTGTTCTTGCCTGGGAAATCCCATGGACAGAGGAGCCTGGTGGGCTACAGTCCACGGCGTCGCAAAGAGTCGGACATGACTGAGCGACTTTCACATCTGAGGAGTTTACTTGTCGTCTGCACGTTGGCTCAGAGGTTGTACACTCTTGTGTGAACCATTGCACTCAGCGTTCCCCATTACTGCACTGTCTGGGTGCAGCTGGCTGTCGTGGGAGCTTTCTGGAAGTACTGTTTCTGCCCTCAGAGAGCACAAGCTACCTGTGCTTTTCCTCTCTTGCCAGCGTTCCCAGCCCTGTGGGGCAGCTTTGCCCTGGCTTTGCACTCAGACAGCTTTTCAAACAGGCCAGTTCACCAGCCAACAGGACTTGGGTTTCAGGGCTTAGCCTGTTATAATTCAAAATGTAAGCTCAGGAAAGTAATGGGCATGTGGCAGAACAATGGTAATCAGGAGTTTCTAGTGACGTTTCTGGGAGGCCCCTGCACAGGGCAGGGAGGCGGGAAGTGAATTCGCTTGGAAGTGTGCACGTGTTCACGGCCACAGTCACTGCCCGGAAGCGGCTCGGCTGAGCCGAAACCGGTTGTCACCAGGCCGACCACACTCCCTGCTGCTCCCTGTTCTCTGTTTCCTCTGGAGGCTGAAATAAGTCTTTGTTACCATATCTATGGCTGATTCATGTTGAGCTTTGACAGAAAATAATGAAATTCTGTATAACAATTATCCTTCAATAAAAAATAAATTTTTAAAAAAGACAGCCAATCATAGTAGGCATGTTTATGTATACAACCCTGAAATAGATACAGTAAACCATCATTAAGTGAAAAAAGCAAGTAGATATTCTGAAGATTCTTGGGGGGAAAGTGTTCTCAACCTTGGTGTTAGGTTGGAATTGGTGGTTCTTGGCTTAGCATGTGTCTGTGATGTAGGAACAGTGCAGTCCCCATATTGAGACAAGACACGCCTGTGGGCAAAGCGTGTACCTGCACACGGAGACTGAAGGACTGACACTCAGCTGTAGACACAGTGTGTCGAGAGTCCCTGTCTTGAGACATCTTTCTCTTGTCGGTTTGCAGTTTAACTCCGCAGCCAAGCAGCTGATCGAGTGGGACCAGCCCCCCGGGCCAGCGGTTGCGGCGGGCGAGGGCACCCCGGCCACCACCCCGAGCAGCACGGCCCCCAAACAGCCAGATGGCAAGAAGAACACCAAGAAGCGGCACTCGTTCACCTCGCTGAGCATGGCCAGCAAGGCGTCGCAGGCCGCCCAGCAGCGCCACTCCATGGAGATCAGCCCCCCGGTCCTCATCAGCTCCAGCAACCCCGCGGCCGCGGCACGCATCGGCGAGCTGGCCGGGCTCTCCTGCAGCGCGCCCTCTCAGGTACGGGCCGCCGCAGAGCTCTAAGGGGCATGAATCCTAGCAGCACAGACTTAGCTGTGAAGACCGGCCATGTGCTGGTCAACCCACCTTGGCAGCGCCTTGTCCCGGGGAACTGAAAGTTCCTTCAGGCCCCCTGGGAACTCATTCGGAGCCTGTCTTTGTCTTGAGCATCTTCTTCCTAACTGTTGGGACTGAGGCAACTAGGTTTAGGATTAAATTCTTGTTACACAAAGCAGCAGTTTTGGTGTGACACTGTCCCCTGGAGAGCAAGGTCACAGGCAGTCACCCTCCTCCCACCTTTAATAGTGGAAGAAGGACGGCCCCTCTGGGCAGGAGGCACCCTCCTCCAGCTCTCTGCAGTCACACTGGGGTGCAGCAGCAGTGAAATTCATCCCGTAACTGAACACAGGCATGAAGGGACCTGAATAACTCCGTTTCTTCCTAGTGAATTCGTCTCAGGTAGTGCTGTGGATAAGACACCTTTGGACACAGGTCGTTTGGTTAGGCATTGTTCCCTGAAGGGTTTTGTAAACAGTTGCCTGCAGTCCATCAGCACATCTGGGTAGCTATGTTTTAATTACGGGTCCCCACGGAGAGGTCAGTCCGTCAGCACATCTGGGTAGCAATGTTTTAATTACGGGTCCCCGCGGAGAGGTCAGGTCCTGAGACGTGATCTGAAGATGGAACCATGTGTGTTAGGTGTGTGACGTAGGTTCAGTGTGCTGGCGGACAGGTGAGCATCCAGAGAGCCCCCCTGAACAGGATCCCTGGCGAGGTGCTGATGGGCTGGCTCACCGTGCGCCAGGCAGGTCCCAGCCACACCCACGTGAGGCAGTGGCCGTGGGTTCCTACACGTGAGGTGTAGGACCAGTGTTTATCAAGTGACTCCTTGGCGTCTGACACATGTGATGCCCTCCGAACATTTGGGCTCAGTAACCTGAACGGGACTCTGCCTTGCCCCAGTAACAGACACTACAGGTTTTGTGTGTTTCATTGTGACTTGGCTTCCCAAGGTTGAGCTGGTCTCGTCTGTTTTGTTAGGTGTGTCTTCCTTGTATTGACTCCTGTTTCCTTGGCAGGTTCACATAAGTACCACCGGCCTGATTGTGACCCCACCCCCCAGCAGCCCCGTGACCACCGGCCCCGCATTCACGTTCCCGGCGGAGGCCCCTTACCCAGCCACCCTGGCAGTGAGTATAACCCTCCCCTCCACTCGCCCACCCCTGCCTGTTGGCCTGGCCCCTCCACCCTGCTGACACTTAGCGAGGGTGAAGGAGGTCTCTATCCTTCACCTCTGTCTCTTAATTTTAGCAAAAAATTACATAGGCTCAGGCCTGCAGCCGGCACTTTATTTTAGCAGTGGAGGTGGGTGGCCTGAGGTGACAGAAGCTCTTTCAGTGTTCATTAAAGTTCAGCCTGGTTTTTTGCAGGCTTATTACCCTTTGCTTCTGTCAGGTTTCTGGTCGGGCTGATTTATTCAGGGACTGAGGAGGCTGGACTCCCCAGGCTGGGTGGTGCCTGGGTCCCCAGAGCATGGATTCTTGGCTCTGATGTCATTTCCACTCTGGGTCCCTGGTCTCCTGTTGGTCTGTGTGGTCGGGGTGCCAGGGGGCTCTCAGATGAGTGATTCTCCCCACAAGCCCGCAGCCTGCAGATGCAATCTGACTCGGGGGGACACCCTAGCGGGGAAAACAAATAGGAGGGTCAGGGCAGTCGTGGGAGGCTGATACAAAGAGGAACCCCAAGGGGAGAAAGCTGAAAGAGCAGAGACAAGGAACGCGACCCTGGGAAGCAGAAAGCAAGGATCCAAGGATTGCGCTTCCTGAGCTTGCAGGTGAACTGTGGGGAACGAGCGTCTCGCGTCCAGGCCACGACCTTGTTACATGTTCAGACTCTTTCTTCCAGTGCGAGGGGAGTGAGGAGAGACGAGATCCCTGACACCCTTCTCCCAGGGGGACCTGGCCCTCCGCCCACCTCACAGAGTCTGCTGGCTGTGCTGCCCGGGGACGCTGTGGCCAGCGGTGGGGTCCTGACGCCCCTCTCCCAGGGACCCCGCCCTCCGCCCACCTCACAGAGTCTCTGCTGGCTGTGCTGCCTGGGGACGCTGTGGCCAGCAGCGGGGTCAGGCCTGGGGCAGGAACCAGCCCCGTTGCATGTGAGTGACGTGGCTGAGAGATCAAGCAGCCTCCTTGGGCCTCGGTGTCCCCTCCTGTAAGATGAAAGGCATCCTGTCTGCCCCAGGGAGGTGGCACCTCCTGGGCCTGGTGGGGGGCCTGTGACAGCTGCCCATCGCCCTCTGTCAGCGCCATGGCAGCTGTGACGTGCCCGCTGCTTTGCTCAGATCCTGGGGTCTGGCTCATTGTTAGGGTCCTCTCTGTTCTCCGCACAGGGGTGGCGAGGCTTCCCAGGGGCTGATTTGTGTTCAGGCTGTGGACTTTGTATGTTGTGAAGATGGAAGACCGAAGGCCAGACCTGCATCCATCCCAGGCCAGGACCTCACTGCATGTTGTTGGCTCCATCTAGCCGTGTTTTCCTCATTTCCTTTTGCCTCATTTTTCTTTTATTTATCATGTCTTGATGTATTTTATGAGTAGTTGGAAGCTGACTTTGAAGTAAGGTGGGCTATAAATAAATGCAGGATTGGTATCTAGCTGGCAGACACTAGTACACTAGAGACTAGTGTAGACTTTTCAAAGCTTTCTGTTGAGTTAAGTAAGCATGTTCCTATATTTAAATAGAAGTTAATAAGTTCCAGTTAGCATTCAAGCCGTTTTTTGTTAATGTTTCTAGAATAATTACAGCTTCCTTGATACAGCAACTGTGTAGGGTGGAAGAAGTTGCATTGATTCCTTTGGGGAAAAGGGGGAACTCAGGTAACTTTTACGGAAAGGCGGTTTCCCTGAGGTTCCACTGACCCTGGGTGCTTCACCCAGAATCAGGTTTCCCAGTCTTCCTGCTCTCTCAGCCCCAGAGAAGACCCTGTCTATCCATCCTTCCTTCCTTCCCACCCACCCCAGTACCTTCACATGTGTTGGAATTTCCATTTCCAAATGACTACTTCGTGTGGCAAAATTCTAACTTGATTTCTCAAGGGAAAAATGGCCGATTTTTCTGATCGTAGAAGAATTAATTAGTGGAAAGATGTAGAGTTGGCTGTGCTTCAGCCCTTGTGGGCTGATTATTTTACGATAAGGGAATGGCCAGTTGCTCTTAGCTGGGTGCACACTAGGGCATCCTGGGCACCAGTCCCAAGAGAGCACGAACCCACAAAATTAATTTACACTCAGTCACTTCTTCCCAGGGTCATATCAGAGAGCCTGAATGTTCAGCAAGAGGATTTATTAGCAGTGTGTCTCTGCCAGTTCCGCTTAATGGAAAACTAATTATAAGCAGACCCACGGCCTCTTGTCCCAGGAGACGCCTGGCTCTGAGAGCCCAGAGTCAGCAAGCAGGAGTGCTGGATTTAATGTGTTAGGTTTAAGTGGGAAAATATCTGTAACAGGTGCCCTCTGAATCTTCCATCAACCTGGCGAGTGTCCCGTGTAAAATGTGAGATCTTCCCAAGACCTAGAGTGCAGTCTCAGCAAGAGCAGGTGGTGTGATGGGAAGGACACCGCCCTTTTCCTGGTGTGGATTTTGGGTGCTGAGGGCCACGGATGGACCAGGAGTGATTGATCATCGTTTCTAGCACTTCTTCACAAGTTGTAACTTTTTAATCTCTTAGGCAGAATGAACTTGTGAGCATATTGTCCTAAATGTCTCACATGTAATGGTTTAAATGTTAAATATCTAACATTAGAAACAACACTGGTATTCCCTCTAATTCAGACATGGACTGTTCACAGCAGGGCAGGTTTCCTCTGCCCGGTTCCCTGGGGAGGAGGGTGCAGATCTCCTGTGTCCCCTGCACCCCAGCAGGGGAACTTGTGAAACAAGGGAAGGGTGACCCCCGGGGCCAGCCAGAAGGGTCAGTCACAAGATGGCACGGGGCGGCCGGGGCAGCGAAGGCCACATGCAGCTCGTGGCGAACTTGAAATCAGATTGCATTCCAACCATGTGTTAAGTACCACTAAACCATGTGTGGGTGGGTGTGTGTACCTAAAAGTAAATGATGTCAGCTTCCCAGAACAGCCAAGATGTACTTGGCCATTGTCGCCCACGGTGGAGGGTCCAGAGGGTCAGGGCAGGGCCCTGGATGTAGGGGCGGGACTGTCACGCTTGGCAGTTGGAGAGGCAGAAGTGGCACCTTTGGAATTGGCAGGATGTGGACCAACTTCACAGTGACCGCAGAGAAGGGCTCAGCATCTTGGGGACCGAGGTCTGCTGACCTGGATCAGACTGTCCTGGAGGCAGTGGGAGCACAGGAGGTTTTCTCATTCCTGAAGACCACGTTGAGCACCTGCGCCTCCCGTGGGCAGAGCCGTGCGCTGGCAGCACGCGGACAGTGAGGCAGGGTGTGGCTCCACGGCCACGTGAATCCTAACCACCAGAGCCTGCCCCCGAGCCTCCACTCCTGGGCGCCAGAGCCGTGTTGCTGAGAGCTCTGTGGACAGCACGTGGCCACATGCATCATTTCTCTCCTCGTGTGTCAGAGCTGGAACCATGTATCCACAGCTGTGAGAGGAGGTCCATTCCCAGAGAGAATTAATTAATCTTCCTAATTACCAGATCCTTAATTACACCTCCCCTTCAGACACCATCTTCCAAGCATCTGTTTCTAGCATTTTAAGTACTTTCATTTTTTTTCTTATTTTTTGTAGCTGTGCCTACTGGCTTGATTCTGCTAGGTATCCAGATGAGACAAAAGCTCACTTCCCATCTTCTTAACTTTACTGAATCCTGATGCCTGTGTTTTTTTAATCACTAGTATCAGTGTTTCCATTTTTCTACTTCCTACTCATCGTTCAAAAAAAGCAAGATACTCAGTTGCACACACACTGCTGTGTGCAAGGGGTTGATGCTGCAGGAATTAGTGACACCACTGCCCCGAGGGGGTGACTGGTCACCATCCCTCTATTGGCCGAGCAGCTGAGTTCACCGTACAAGCAGAGCGTTTACAGAGGTTGAAAGTGGATTCATTGGAATCAGATGTTTAGGAAGGATGGAATTGGGGGATGTTTAGTGGTATTTGCTCAGAGGACCCAGAAACGCCCAGTGTTATGCTGCAGTCACCTTCTACCCCAGAAGGAGAGGGGTATGCACACATAAAGGACAGTCAGGAAGAAAACGGACCCTTCATGTAGCCTGGAAGAGAGTGGATATGTGTCCATGTGAGGCTGAATCACTGCTGTGGACAAGAGACTGACACGACATTGTAAGTCAGCTATCCTCCAATAACAAAGTTAATTAAAGAAAGAGAGGACGGATCGTTTACAATCAGAACCCCGAGCTCCAAGCAGAGTGCTTTCCTGGTCAGCGGCCTGTAGCCCTCACCCATGGTTAAGACCTCGTGGAGCTCAGCGCCTGGTTGCTGGAAGGGGAGAGGGCAGGGAGGCGCCAGTGAGGAGGGGCCCACAGCCCGGCCTTGAACTCTTGCTCACTGTCTCATGGCCCGACGGTAGCCTGGACCCAGCCACCTGGACAGGGCGCTTTGTTCTTGGAGGGAAACTGAGGGCGGCCCGCAGGGGCTGAGTGGGGACTGGAGTCTGCACGGCATTTCTGACACTAGCCCTATGCTGCCTCCTTGTCCCAAGATCAGTGAGTGGGGAACACAGTCTGGATATAGCGGACCTGACTCCCGTCAGCTGGCCCCTGAGCCCTGATTTTAGGGAGCATCCTCGTGGCCTCCAGACATCAGTGCTGGTAGCGGAGGGTCTGGACCTGCAGAAGCACAAGCAGAACCTCATCTCAGCGACCACGAGACCACGGCTAGTCCCCTGCGTCGGATCCCGGAGGCCCAGCCCCAGCCTCCCGAGCCTCAGCCGTTCTTCACCACTCAGTGGAAGCAGGCCAGCTGCAGAAGGCCCTGGTGAGGGGGAGGCTGAGGTTCCTGCAGGACGGCTCACAGCAGGTTCCTCCCGGGCATCTTTGTCCCTGGAGTCTTTCAGTGTGGGCTGTTCACCAGCACCCGTGGGGCCTCCTGGCCAGCCCAGCCCTGGACGTGCCAGGGTCCTGGCATCTGACCAGCCTCACAGAACAGCCACGTCGGGGAATCCGGTTGTGATGTCTGCTCCGTGTGCTTATCCTCCAACACACGCACACACACATGCATGTTTTCCCGAAGATACGCAGCCCAGTGCTGGGGTATGCCAGATGTCAAGTGAGTCCTAACTTAGGCTTTGTAAAATTCATACACACCAAACATTTCCTTTCTATACTTACTAACTATAGGAGATGATCTTTTCTTCAGTTCAGTTCATTCGCTATGTAGTGTCCAACTCTTTGTTGGACTGCAGCACGCCAGGCTTCCCTGTCCTTCACCATCTCCTGAAGCTTGCTCAAACTCATGTCCATGAGTCGATGATGCCATCCAACCATCTCATCGTCTGTCACCTTCTGCCTTCAGTCTTTCCCACTCTCAGGGTCTTTTCCAGTGAGTCAGCTCCTCCCATCTGGTGGCCAAAGTATTGGAGCTTCAGCATCAGTCCTTCCAATGAATATTCAGGGTTGATGTCCTTTAGGATTGTCTGGTTTGACCTTGCAGTCAAAGGGACTCTCAAGAGTCTTCTTCAGCACCACAGTTGGAAAATGTCAGTTCTTCTGCACTCAGCTTTCTTTAGGGTCCAACTCTCGTGACCTCCGCTTACATTTCGTTAGTGTGATGTGGCTGTGTTTGTCAGGCCTGTGGGTCTCCTTCTCTCTTTCTGCTTCTCCTAGGGTCAGTGAGTGCAGGCTCTACTGACGTGAAGGTGCAGTTTCCCTCCCCCTTTGCCAGTGGAATGCTCCTCAGAGCCGAGTGCGCTCTTGACTCTGAGTCCTTCCAGGGGCGGGTGGCCTGAATTCCTTTTGTCCACTCGTCGCCTGCGCCTCCGCGGCCACACAGCTGTGAGGTGGGGCCTGGAGAGACCCAGAGGAGGCAGCTCAGTGGCGACCTCGGGCGCTGCCGAGCTGCTGTGTGCAGTGGCCCGCGGGCCCGCCTGGCTCACGTGCGCTAAGTCTCCCGCCAGGGTTGTTTCTGTCACTTTGTCCTGAGACCAGCAGCTCAGGTGCTCGGCCTTTCCCTGGTTAAGGGCCGTGAGGGCTCCAGGCCCCGTGAGTGCCCTCCTGGAGTCACAGCACAGCCGTTGTGTGACTGTCCGCCTGGCCTTGCCTGCCCTGGGAGCGCCCTCAGTGCCTTTGTCCTGCCTCGGCCGCAGCCTGGGGCAAGTCTTCTCCGTTGTAGGAAAGTGGAACACAATGTGCACAACAGTTGCAGCATGCATCTAGAAACTTGAGGTCCTTCTCTCCAGTGTTTCTGGAACCGTGTGACTTAACAGGGAGATGAAGTAACTGCTGATGGAGTGTCAGATTTTTTTTCCAGACAACAGGAACCAGTTGGTTTTCTTTGTGTTTAGAAACCATGGGGTTTTTCTTCCGCTATTCTGACATGGAGACACCACATGCCCTGCCCAAGTTGCAGTCTTCAGCTTCCTTATTTCTCCTTTGATGCAGTTTTACACCGAGTGGTTCAGAGATTTGGGGCAGGTTGGCGAGGTGGGGGTTCAGGCGAGTCTGTGTGTGCCTGTTTGCTCAGTATCCAGACCCTAAAGAATGATCTGGGCTGTGTCAATTAGAAAGTAGCAGGCACTCTGTTGATTCTGGAAAGGCGTGGAGTCTTATGGGCAGAGCCCGTGGAGGGACCGGCAGCTGCTTGCGGCGTCCTTGTTAAAGATTACCAGCCTTGATAAAGATTACCAGCCTTGATAGCCCTGAGCTGAAGAAGCCGGCAGAGCTAGCAAGAAAGGCGTAAACAAAAGCACCCAGCATGGCCCCGCAACTGGGGTCCTGTTGTTTGTGGTTTGGGAAGCCCAGACGTCCGAGGAAATTTTCTTCTGTGGGCATGGTGTACAGCGCCGCTGGACTGTCTGCTACTGTGTTGAAGTTTCGGGTTGCAGAGCAGTCACAAATTCATCCCCAGCAAGCCGTGTGCTGTCAGAGCTGCCCCTTGGAAGGCATTTGGATCCTGATCCTAGTTTGTGCTTAGAAGTGCCGTAAATCTTGAAATCGCATGCAGTCTTGTCCTTTTTTTCTTTCCCTCCTCCCAGCTGTCATTGCTTACCTGTTTGCTGGAAGGGTTGCTGTGGCTCTGAGGCCTTAAAGGAGAACAGAGAGGAGCCTTTTAGAAGGAGGCTTGGGTATCGTGTGCAGGCGCTACTCTGTGTAGATTCCACCGATGTTTTTTTCTTATGGGTTTCTGATTCCTCTTCCCTCCCACTTACTGGAAGAGATGTAAATAAGTCATCTGTTCCTTCTTTTTCTTTCTCTCTCCAGACTCTGAATCCTCCTCTCCCCCCGCCCCCTCTCCAGGCGGCCACCCCCACGGGCACTGCTGTTGCTGCTGCCGCCGGGATGGGCCCCAGGCCCGCAGCTGGACCCACTGACCAGACCACACACCCGCGGCCACAGCCCCGCCCCAGCGTGTAAGTGCGGGGTCCTTTCTGCCCCCGGACCGAACCCAAATAGAGAGGCAGAGAGCAACTTTCTGGGGGGAGCTGGTGCCAGACTGGTGTCTCCTACCCACCTGTGTCTGTGATCAGGAAACGAGTGGTCTAAGGACGGGCCTTCTGGCCTTCCTCTGCAAGTCTACCCAGGTTCTGTCCCCGCCTTCGCCCCCGAGCAAGGATGCGAGGGGACAGGGGGGGCCCCTGCGCTGTTGTGCTCTGTCCGTGGTGGGACTTGCTTTGCCTCTGACTCGCAAGTTCAGCGTCTGCCCCGACTGAGCCCAGGACGCAGGTGCCACCCATTGCCGGTTCACTGTGTGCGGGGAGGCTGTGTGCCGAGCTTCCCGAGGGATTTGGGACCACATGCCCTCGACGAGGCTGCTTCCCAGGTCTCACCAGGGCCATCTGCAGGGCCAGTTTCCCAGTGGGCATCTCATGCCCTGCTGCAGGTGTGCAGACGGGGGCGTGGCATTGCCCGTGAGTACCGTTTGGCAGGGTCAGCACCTTTCACGGGGAGGGCCGGGGGGAGGTTCGGAGTCAGGCAGCTTCTGCCTTTTCAGAGTGGATGGCCGCCATTCAGTGGAGAGTGATCGAGGCTGCCCACAGATTAAAGGATTCTACTTTCTATTTACTTTTGTACAAAACATTCAAGGCTTCGTGCCAGAGAAGAGTTCTGCGCATCGTGTGGTATGTCTGTTACTCACCTTGAAGTCAGATGCTTTTCTGCTTCTAGGTATGTTGCCATTTATCCTTACACTCCCCGGAAAGAGGACGAGCTGGAGCTGCGGAAGGGGGAGATGTTTCTCGTGTTCGAGCGCTGCCAGGACGGCTGGTTCAAGGGGACATCCATGCACACCAGCAAGATTGGGGTTTTTCCTGGCAATTACGTGGCCCCCATCACGAGGTATGGCTCTGAGCAAGCGGCTTGCTGAGCCCTGAACGCAGAAGCTTTGTCCTTTCCCATGATTTCCAGCCTATCCACAGTTCCTTCTCATGTTACAATTATGTGTTAACACAGCCAGCATTTTAGACGTCCCTGCCTGTATTTGCCAAAGTCCCTTCTAATCCTCAAGATTTTAGCTTACTCTTCACATGTGGAGAAGGCAATGGCACCCCACTCCAGTACTTTTGCCTGGAAAATCCCATGGACGGAGGAGCCTGGTAGGCTGCAGTCCATGGGGTCACTAAGAGTTGGACACGACTGAGCGACTTCACTTCACTTCACATGTGAAATTGTAAATTTCTCCCAATATAGGTGCTGGTTTTAAATTATTTGCTTTAAGTCACATGTGAGAAGACTCTACTACACTGTTTGCAACATTTTTCTGCTAGGAAAGTAGTGCTGTTTGATATAAACACAAGTGATGTTATTAATCCTCTTGTTTACGTGATGCTTACCTGACACCTGGCGCGCAGAGTTCTGTGTTCCATACATTAACGCTGGGGCCTCAAACAGCTCCCTGGTGTAAGTGCTGTTATCCCCACTCAGCAGTGAGCAGGTTGAGGTGGAGAGGTTAAACAGTTTGAGGTCACCTGATGAAGAGGTGCTGAAAGCCAGGTGTGTATTCCAATAGCTTGGTGATTACATCTGAATTCTCACAATTACTTTTTATAATGCAATCAGAAATGAAACTCCTTTAACATGACATGAACCCCTCACCCTCCTCAGGGGAGGGCAGTTTTGCTCCCCAGGGGATGTTGGCAGTGTCTGGACATGCTTCTGATCATCGTGATGGGGGAGCAAGTGGTACTCGCCGCCCATGTATAGAAACCAGGGATGCATATGTCACCCTGCAGGGCACGGCACAGGCTTCACAGAAGGGAGCTGTCTGGCCCCCAATGTCACCAAGGCTGAGAAACCTCTTCTAGGATAGCAGGAGGCAAGCACTTTGGATGTTTGATATATACTCTTCACTTTATTTAAGTTTAGTCCCCATTCTGGGCACTGAGGAAGCTTGCTCTGGGATGACCATGATGACCTATGATGGGATCAGTGCTGAGAAAACCCCGGGTTTTGGCCACTGGGCTCTTAATAAATGGTCCAGCTTAATTGTGTTAAATCATTTCTCAAAGCCCTTGACTTTGAATAAGTGGCTGAATGAACTGACATGCTGTCAGATGTCGGTCTCAATCCTCAGACTGGCTGGCAGCCTAATCCAGTGAAGATCACTGTCATTGCAGATGGCAGCAGAACATTAGCTCCAATTAGACTTGCAGATTTTTCATCAGTGTAAACCTTCTTGTCGGTATATGCTAAAATTTACATTCACAGCCCAGAAGATGGTAGCTCCGTCTTCCCTGGTGGGATAAAACAAACAAACAAAAACCACAACAAGGAAGGGAGATAAACCAAGCAACAGCCACATGTCAACTTTCTGAAGAAAGCATTTTCCTAAGACTCAAATACAAACTATCGAAAGTCTCTGGAGAGACGCTTCCTGATGGAAAATTCTCTGTTATTCCTCATGGTAAATAATGAGGTTCGAGTTAATGAAGCCTTCTGCTTGGTAGAAAGTTACTATCTATAGAACTGTTGTTTAAATCAATTTAGAATATTAAAAAGCATGTTACATAAAGCTACACTGAATCTACTTTAATGAAATTCAGCCGGTACATATTTGAGGGCCAGCTGTGTCGCTGTAACTTCACATGCAGGAAGGGTGGGAAACACCCAGTGCACGCTGCCCTGCTGTCAGGGAACTTGTACTGAGTCAGGAGTACTTCACTGGGAATTGACGGAAAACACTCCACATCGTGTTTTGTGATCAAGGGTCACAGAGGAAATCCACCTGAAACAGAGGACAGTCCCGAGGTCCTGGGCCTGAGGCCAGGCTGCTCGGGAGGACAGGACTGAAGTGCAGGTGAGAGGGAGGGAGGGTGAAGGGAGCCAGAGGGACATTACAGGAGTGTGTGCGCACGCGTGCCGGTAAACAGGGCAAGTACAGAGAAGCCGTACGTGAGCCCAGCTGTGCCAGCCTGGACGCTGTGCTCTGACAGGCCAGAGAGGAAGCGTGCAGGCCCTGGAAGCCCATGGGGAGAGTTACCTCCAGACGGGAGCTGAGCCGAGAAGCTGTGTCACCAGCAGAGTGCTGTGCGATCTTTCTCGCGCTCCGAAGATGTTTCCAGAGCTTTCTCCGCCTCAGGGCCGTTGTTCCTTGAATGTGTTTTTCTTACCTTTGGTCAGATAATTGCATTCCTAAAGTGTTACATCTTTAAGCTCTGCATCATTTTCTTTGGCGTTAGTTGTCCTGTCTCCCTCTTGCTGACGGACTGGGTTTCTGTCTCGGCAGGGCCATGACCAGTGCTTCCCAAGGCAAAGTCCCCATGTTGACGACTGGCCCAGTGAGTCGCGGGGGGGTCCCGGCCAACCCTCCCCCCGCAGGCGGACCTGCCCAGAAGTCCCCGGGGAATGGCATGGCTGGCGGTCCCGGGGTCCCCACAGCCGTGGTGTCAGCAGCTCATATCCAGACAAGCCCCCAGGCTAAGGTCCTGCTGCACGTGTCTGGACAGATGACCGTCAACCAGGCCCGGAGCGCTGCAAGGACAGGTGGGCGCTGGGCCGCGGCCCTGGGAGAGGGACCCGAGCAGCCGCAGACCTGGTGCACCAGAGGCTGCGAGGATGTGAAGATGGTCTGAGAGAGCAAGGTGGAATTTTGAGACAGTCTAGCAGAGGAAGGTGGAACTTTAAGACAGTCTGAGAGAGGAAGGTAGAACTTTAAGACAGTCTGACAGAGGGAGTGGGACTTTAAGACAGTCCGGCAGAGGAAGGTGGAACTTTAAGACAGTCTGGCAGAGGAAGGTAGAATTTTAAGACAGTCTGACAGAGCGAGGTGGAACTATAAGACAGTCTCACAGAGGATAGTGGAACTTTAAGACAGTCTGAGAGAGGAAGGTGGAACTTTAAGACAGTCTCACAGAGGATAGTGGAACTTTAAGACAGTCTGAGAGAGGAAGGTGGAACTTTAAGACAGTCTGACAGAGGGAGTGGGACTTTAAGACAGTCTGGCAGAGGAAGGTAGAATTTTAAGACAGTCTGACAGAGCGAGGTGGAACTTTAAGACAGTCTCACAGAGGACAGTGGAACTTTAAGACAGTCTGAGAGAGGAAGGTGGAACTTTAAGACAGTCTGGCAGAGGAAGGTGGAACTTTAAGACAGTCTGACAGAGGGAGATGGAACAAGACAATGAATAACTGAAGCAGGGGCCAGCACAGCCTCAGCACCATCACTGTACATCGGCTCTGTTTCAGATAACAGTCAGACCTTAAATAGCTTTGTTATTCCTGAAGTGTTTAAAATGTCCCAGGGGTCTTGGTTAACAGTGATAGAGAAAATGTGTTCAGTTCTGTCAGAAAATCCACAGGAAGGAAGGGAGTTACCGAGAAAAGGGAGAATGGGAAGCAACGCTGGAGCCAGCCTGCTCTGCCCCGAGAGTGTGTGGGGGTGTTGCCTCGGCCAGAGCCCGGGGCCTGCTGCACCCCTGGGTGTTGTCGCCCTGCAGGCGCCTGGCAGACATGGCAGCAGACAGTGTCATGGAACACAGTGGGGCGCTGACCTGGGATCAGGGAGGGGATGATGTCCAGGGCCCCCCGAGGGTCAGAGCATCTAAACCGCTGTGGTTTCTCATCACTGTGACACGCGCAGGGCTCGGTGAGCAATGAGGCTCCAGCTCACACTTTCCTTCTCTCTTCCCTGTCCAGTCTCGGCGCACAGCCAGGAGCGCCCCACGGCGGCCGTGACACCTATCCAGGTTCAGAGCACCCCGGGGCAGCCCCACCACCCCCTGGCGTCGCCGCAGCCCCCTGCCCCGCTGGGCCCCCCTGCCCACGCGGCTGCCAGCGGCCTGGGCCGTGTCGGAGGCCCCCTGGCCTGTGCCACAGCCCCAGCGAGCATCCCCGCCGCCTCCCTGGAGCCTGAGCCCAGCGGCCGCCCCGCAACCCTGCTCCCGGGAACACCCACCTCCCCTGACAGCGGCTCGGCAGCCAGGCCAGACAAGGACGGCAAGGTGAGCCCCGGTGGCTGCTGACCCGCTCATGGTGCGGGGGGTGGGGTTCCATTCAGCTCTGGGGCTTGTCCCCTAGCCGTTCACTGCCCTACCACCTCGCTGCCCTGAACTCCTCCTGGTGAGTGAGCTTTGCTTCTGGTTAACTGTTCTGCAGAAATGCACTTAGGATATGAAGGAGTTGAAACTGTTGATCCAAAGTGTTGCTTGTGGATTCATTGTCCCTGCACTGTATTTGATTATAATGTGTGGATGTGAATAGTTTTTCTCTTGACTTGAAATGTAGGGGAAAATTAATTTCTAATTTGATCTTTCTTATAAAAATCCTTTGGGCCTGAATTTCAAAGAAATTGTAAGTGGGAAGCTATGTTTGAAAGACTGACCTGAGGCTGGGCTGGGGACAGAGGAGTGTGTGGTGGTTGAACACCCGCAGAAAGCAGCGTGCAGCAGACTCCGGTAATCATGCTGCAGGCGTGACTTCACTCCATGCCCGTGTGCTCCCCCCAGACTGCTCGCCAGCTCTGGGAAGCTGTGGGATCACACCTGCTTCCATGGTCATGTACGTCGCTCTGTTTAAATGACCAGGGAGCCTGTGAGCAGGGCTTTATAAGGAAATAAACCTAACAGCCTACTAAAAAGTTAATATTTAATTGTTGAGTTAACATGAGTGCTTTTGCAAAAGATCGTTATCTGTTCAATGTTTATGATTAACTACATTAAACTTGTACTCCGGCTCACGTGGTCAACCCTGCCAAGATCTTCAGAAAGTAAACTTACTTTACAGTTTTGATTTGAAGGTTCCAGGACAAGACATCAGGGCCTTGTCTCAGGGAATCAGGCTCTGGAGCCCCAGGCCTCCGAAGGAAGAATTCACAGCATCTGCAGGATGTCTGTGCTAGGGAGAATAACAGCCCCCAAGGAGGTCCATGTCCTGATCTCTGAAATTTGAGAATACATTTCCTTACGTTGCAGAAGGGGTCTTACAGATATGGTTCAATTAAAGGTTTAAAGACGAGTGGATTAGCTGCGTGAGCCCAGTATAAGCAAAGGGATCGTCTAAGTGAGGAAGGAAGATCAGGGCTGGAGGGAGAGACCAGACGCGTAGAGCAGTGACCTGTTTACCCCGCTCAGTCCCCCTGCTGACAGGTGGCCACTGGCCTCTGCGAGGATGCCTTGTGGCCCTGTGTCCTGCTGTGGAGCATCAGCTCTGTCTTCAGGCAGCTCGAACTCATGGAAAGTTCCATCAGCACGCGCCTGTCTCCCTGTGACTTCAGACCTTCAGAGTGTGCTTTGAGGGACTGCATAGAAAACGATGGTCTCCTTTCTATGTGATCCCTGCAGGGAGTTCAGGGTTATCTTCTTTTCTTAAAGGCTTCACTCTTGAGGGGTTTTTTCCCTCATATTCTTCATGTCACAGATTTCTAATTTCCCTTTCTAAGTCTGCTACCTCATTTAATGTTCCCAATTCATTCAAGAGATTGTCCCAATGGCTATAAACTCAGTGACCCATGATTACTGCAGGGAACATCACTTCACCCCCATCCCTCCATCGTCTTGCCAGAACACTCAGAGAGAGCTTGGCGGATGCCTGATGAGATCCAGCTCTCTCGTTCTCCCATCCAAACAGTCCCCCAGTTGCCTCACCATTTCTGCTGTAACCTGTTAGCTCGCATACTCTTCGGTCTCACTTCCTTTCCTGAGTCAGCCTTTCATCAGATACCCCATTTTAGGGGTGGTCCCCTAAGACCCCGTTTCCCAGGTGGTCTGCAAGCGCCCTTGTGGTCATCTCTGAACATGAGGACCACACATGCCTTTCTTTGGCCTGCTGAGTTGACCTTGGTCCCAGGTTCACCAGGGTCTATCAGAGATCGGCTGTGTTCCAGCTATTAATTTCCTCAGTAGGCTGGGGTGGATCAGCCTGCTGGGGGGAGTGGTTTCATCTCCGCATCCCCGTTCCTCCCCCCGTTTCCCTCCTACCGAGGTTTGTTCTTCCTGTCTGGCTGAAAGTGACTCTTCATGCGTCTAAGGACCACTGTCCACCCCAGACACCAGATCCATGTCTTTCCTGTTCCCAACAAAACTTTAAAGCAGCACATACCCCACCCCCAGCTTTTTTGGTCAAAGTTTAAGTTCATTCTGGCCTTCAGCATCTTGAATTGCCACGGCTATGGTATGTTCCTCTTGGGGGCCCTTCTCCTGATCTTCTCGTGGAGGCCTTTCTGTCACTTCCTGGGGCATCACATAAGTGCCTTCATCATCGGGTGCTTCTGCACCTTCACCTGCTGGGGTGTATAGTGTGTGCTGGGAGCCTCTTCCTGGAGAGCCCACCCACTGCTCTTGAAGCTTCAGGATTTCCTTCTGAATTTCAGGCCATGCATATACTTTCTTGTAACTTTTAAAATCAATTCTCACTAATTACTAGAGAAATACAAATCAAAACTACAATGAGGTATTAATATCACCTCACATTGGTCAGAATGGCCATCATCAAAAAGTCTACAAATGAGGAGGCTGGAGTGGGTGTGAAGAAAAGGGAACCCTTGTACACTGCTCCCTAGTGATGACTAGTGCAGAGAACAGTGTGGAGGATCCTTAAAAATCTGAAAATAGTGACTGTGTGACCCAGTAATCCCATTTCTGGGCATATACCAAGAGGAAGCCATAATTCAGAAAGATACGTGCACCCCGTTGTTCATAGCAGCACTGTTCACAACAGCCAGGACGTGGAAACAGCCTAAGTGTCCATCAGCACAGGAGTGGGTCACGGAGGTGTGGTGCGTGTACACAGTGGACCATCACTCAGTCACACGGAAGAGCAAAGCGATGCCGTTTGCAGCCACGTGGGTGGATCTAGAGACTGTCATGCTGAGTGAAGTACAGCAGACGCAGAAAGACCAAGGTCATAAGATATTGCTTATGTGTGGAATATAAAAAGAAAAAGGGCACACACAAAGTTATCTCCAAAGCAGAGCAGACTCACAGATGTGGAAGACAAACGTGGAGAGCAGAGGTGAGAGGGGGAGAGGCAGGTTGGGAGCCGCCTATGCGCACCACTGTAGAAATCCGTGGCTGGTCAGAACCTGGCGTGCAGCTCAGGGAACCCTGCTCGCTGTCTCTCGTGACCTCTATGGGGAAGAGCCCCTGCCCTGTGGCTCAGCAGGAGCCGTGGGCCGCAGACCGCCTGGGATGATTGGTCATCTGATAAATGGTTACCTATACTTCCTTCTGCCAGACTGTCTCTAACTGAACTCTGTTATTATGGATCCCCGCCGCCCCAAGGGATATTTTACTGAGTTTGAACAAAGTCAGTGTTCAGGAAGAATTCCTCTCCTCAAGGGCTGCTCACTAATCTCCTTCCGTTTCAGTGGACCTTAATAGTCCCAGTTTGCCTAGAGAGCATTCTAAAGGGTTATTTCTCTCAACTGTTGCATTTTCAGACCATGTTTTCAGTCAGAGGACTTGATGACACAGTTGACACATTAGTAAAGCAATTTAAAATGATGATTGTTATTACCTGCACTTGGGCATCAGAATATTGACACTTGGGGTCTGGGCACAGAGGAGAGCCAGCCCTAGATCTGGTTTCCTAGCAGAGCAAAGACCAAAAGGAAAAGACCACAGGACACCAAGATCCACGAGGTGGCTTCTATGGTGTGAGTTTGATGGGAGTAATTCTCATTTATACACTTGCTTGCAAAAAGAGACATAAAGTGTTTCTATTATACTGATGGGCTTTTTTTGAATTTTGTAGTTGTTTTTGTTAAAGAATCTGCCTGAATACAGAAGATGTGGATTTGATCCCTGGGTGGGGAAGATCCCCTGGAGAAGGAAATGGCAACCCACTCCAGTATTCTTGCTTGGAGAATCCCATGGACATAGGAGCCTGGCTATAGTCCATGAGGTTGTAAAGAGTCAGACATGACTGTGGAACTAACACTTCACACTTTCAGAGTTGTTTTTTTAATTAAAGAAGTATTTGCACAACAGATATGGTTTGACTTCTATTATTATCAGTTTGTTAAATTTCATCAATGTGGTGACGAATGAATATGACTTAACCCTTCACCCTGATCAAGACATCATCCCCTCAGGTCTATGGCTGTGGAGTAAAATGCTAAAATGCAAGTGGGTTTATGTTAATTGAGTCTAGCACACAGGAATTGAAGATAGAACAGGCAGAATTTCAGGAAATTAAAGCTATCATCCGAAATTTCCATTTTGTCATAAAGTGTCTCCTTTGCCTTCACTTTGCCTGGAAAGTGAATTGGTGGGATTTTGGTTTCCCCACCTTTTTATCTGCTCATCCCACCTCTGTGGAGGTTGGTGACAAGCACTTGAATGTCCAGAACCAGGGAAGATGCGCGGGTGGGTGGGGGTTGTGCAGAGAGGTGAAGGGCGTTGAGCACACAGCCCCAGGAGCCGGACCAGGAGTCCCAGACAGCCTCAGGGTCCCTTGGAAAGCTCAAATCTGAACTTGAAACTCTACCAACAGAACTGTGTCTCCAACCCATGCACTTTTTTTTTTCTTAGAAAGAGAAAAAGGGGCTGTTGAAGCTGCTGTCTGGGGCCTCCACCAAGCGCAAGCCCCGGGGATCACCGCCGGCCTCACCCACGCTGGATGCTGAGCTGGGGGCCGAGCTGTCCTGCGGGCCCCCGGGCGCCCCCTGCGCCTGCCCCGGGCCCTGCGATGCGGACGCCGTGGCCCCTGGCCCCCAGCGCAGGGCCTGCTCCCTGGACTCTGCCCCTGTGGCGCCACCTCCCCGGCAGCCCTGCTCATCCCTGGGCCCCGCGGCCAGTGAGGTGCGGCCCGCCGTGTGTGAGAGGTGGGTTCTCGTCATGGGCGCTGGGAGCCGGCAGGTCTGCGGCACCCGCGGCGTTCCAGGCTCCTTCCTGGGGTCTGCGGCCACAGCTGGCGCTGGCTCCTGTCTCCTTCAGGTGGCGCTCTCCATCTCTGAGGTCCCCTCTGCATCCTCACCCCTTTCCATCATGTCTCCAGAGCTCTCCTCTACGGGGCAGTGGTCACGGCGGCCCTGGTCCCTGCCTTCTCCTGGCTCCTCGTTCACGGCCAGCCAGCCACCCTAGTTTCATCTTTGGCCCTTTTTATCGAAGGCTTATGAACACCACTACCTGCTCGTTGTAAAGCTGCTGGAGTGTTCCATCCCCCAGAGTTCTCTTCGGGTTCTTCCTGAGCCAGAATGTGGCAGAGTTCTCCTGGCCCGACCCCTGCCGACCCAATGACGGGGTTCCGTTACCCTCAGAGTAGTGAGCCCTGTGCAGTGACTGTGGCCTCAAGTCACCTTTACAGACAGGAGCTGTCCTGTCTGTTTCACCACTGGGGCTCTCGGAGCGTGTTAGCAGAGAAAATCTACTTAATAAGACAGAAACCTGTTAGGAAAAAAATAAAGCCGATCCGAGAGCAAAAAACCAAAACCAAAAACCTGCTCGGATCATATGAATTAAAAATGCAGCATGGTGTGCTGCCTGAGAAGACGGCATGAAGCACCCTGAAACTAGAGGACTGTTTTCCCATAACATTAGCACAAGTATGTAAGCTTTGCTGGAGGAGGTGCCGTCTGTCTCTGCAAGCTTGGGTCCCTCTGTCCCTGCGTCTCACACGGCACGTTTCTCATCTGTGGAGGTGTCGCCTTTGGGGCAGCATTTTCTGTTAGTGATTCAAGATCTTACTGTCAGGTGTTACACTTGACGATGACTTAAATCCACCTGAATGCTGTATTTCAGATGAACACTCGTACCCACCGAAACCTGAGGCCTGCATTCAGACAGTTCGGGGGGCTTGCTTTATTACCCAGAAGTAACTCAGGAAAGAATTAATCAAACCATCTATGTGCCTTAAATACAAAGTACACCATTTGCTGTGCACGTTTATGGGGACACAAGATAATTCTGTGTAGTTCTGACCCTTCTCAAACCAGTTTTGAAAAGAGACATTACCCTGAAAAGTGTTTTTGCCTCACCCGTAAAACATTCTGTCTTTCCCCTCATCCACTGGGCTCTTAGCCAAGCTTTGAGATTTCGCCCCAAGTTCACGTCACCCTTCATTCCAAGAGCCCTGCTTTTTCCTGCGGTGTTTCTTGGCTCTCCAGGGAGGGCGCCTGTGCCCCTGGACCCAGTCCAGTGACTCGTTTACTCTCTCTGGGCCACAGAGGCGTTGCAAGTCCCTCTGCAAGCCGAGCCTCCCCGCTCCCCTGTCATTGGTGGTGTCCCTGCGTCTGCCTGGGGGGCCGCTTCACCGTACCAGACCCCCCCCACCAGGCTCTCCCGCCCCCCACCCCCAGCACTGGCTCTTTCCAGAGGCCAGTCTCCAAGCTTCTGCACCCCAGCCCGGCTCACAGAGGGGCGCCTTGCTCACAGCGGGTCGCCTTGATTGCAGAAGGCTCCCACAGTCCAGAGCATCTCAACAGGAGGGGCCGCTGGCGGCTCCCCCTCCAGACAAGGAGCAGGCAGGTTTCCTGCTGATCACGTGGGCAGGGCACACAGGGATCCTCTGCTGGGTATGTTATGGAAGCATTTCCATTTTTACAAGTGGGAAAGTGGTCTTTGGAGAGAATTTCTGCCCTGCATTTATATTTTTATAATCCACGTGCTCAGTGGGATATTGAATATAATAGCCAGCCTTACCAGCTTCTCACAGCCTTTTTGCCATCCTACAGTGATGGTGATGTCATGTGTCTAACTCAGCTTCTTAGGTCTGCCTGACTGTAGACACAACAGGAAAAATGTGTGGAAGCAAATAGCATAGGAAAACAGTCTATTATCCTGTTATCTTATCCACTGGGCAGGAAATTTTTTGGTTATTCAAAAACTACCAAGGATGTATTTTAGGGATTACCTCTTTTGGGATTTTAAAAATTTCAGCCTAAGAAAAAGTATTTCATGCTAAAAATGCAGGGAAGGTTAGCTTTCACATCAGCCTAATTTAGGAAGCATTTCAGGATCTTAGCGTCCTCACATCACAGTCTAAATGTCACGACTCCTGCCCCCACAAAGTGCGAGAGCGTGGGCTCTTCTGGTAGAATTTTTCCTTCTAGAGTTCCACAGAAATATTTTTAATGTCTAATACCAGTGTAGTATGAGATAGGATTCGTCTGCAGATGAGAGTGACAACAGGCGTAAAATTTCCTCTCAAAGTGGGACCCTGCCCCGTAAATCCCAAGGGGGAGAAAGCCGCTCTGCCCTCTTCTCACACTGTGAGGAGGGAGGGAGCCGCCTGGAGGTGTGTGGACAGATCTGGGGTCCGCCGAGCCTGTTCTCTGAGGACCAGAAGGAATCTTTTGTGTTTGTGAGAGAGACTGAGGAAAACGAGCAAGAAAGGCTGTATTCTGGGGGCGGAATAAAACTGATGACAGCGGAGATAATGAAGCAGGTGTTGCAGGCTCTAGTGTGGAAGGACTGAGGGAAAATAATTAGGAAATTGCAAAGAGAACATGGAAATAAGATATTTCAGAAGGGATGGCAAATAAAAGTATGTGTGGCAGTTTTTTCCCTACAAAAAGAAATTGCAGATAAAGCAGACACAGCAAGTCATCTCCGTATATTTTTAAGTTTAGGATTTAAACTGATAAGCCCATCTGCTAAATTGGAAAAGGACCTCTGATCTTTGATCAGGAACCATACCAAAAACATACAAATTGGACAGAGATAGATTTATAGAAAGGCAGCTGGGCTTAAACAGAATGATTGATTTGAGGCTGTGACATGAACCCACTGGATGAAGCAGTGAGCGTCAGTCACTCAGACTTCAAGCGAACTGCAAAGCAGCAAGTTTCGTTTTGCTAGTGACATGCTAGTAGCAGAGGTCACCCACCCAGACCAGGACACTGGGCACCCTGCCCCCCAGAGCCTGGGGACTCGACTTGGGCTGAATCAGGAGAGATTAGAAACAAAAAGGCGTGAACTACAGAAGACATGAGAGAGACCAAAAAAATTAAGGAAGTGGAAAATTTGTGCTAATGAAAGACTAGGAGCGCCCCTCTAAGCAGAAGCCAGAATAGCTGAGCCCGGGCCGAAGGGCTGCCCCGGGGTGTCGTGGAGCCTCCTTACACAGCAGGCATCTCTCTCTTGCATTCCACCTTGGAGGTCATCCGCCAAGCCTCAGTGTCCCACGAGAGGCTGAGGCCCACTCAGGGCCGGGTCTGTGAGCCGCCCTCGTGGCCTCTTGTCACCCCCGGCTTTGTCCGAAAGAAGCAGGAGGCGCCTCCCAACAGCCAGGAGCCACGTAGCTTTCGATGGTTTCTCCTTCTTTCCTCCCTGCTTCCCTGTCTTTCCTTCTTCCCTTTCTCCTTTCTTTCAGCTTCCCACTAATTTTTTGAAGAATTTGGCTGGCTGTCTGTGCCAGGCCTCGGTTGCGGCCTGTGGGATTAGTTCCCTAACCGGAGGTTGAACCCTGGCCGGGCTCCTGCACTGGGAGTGGGAAGTCTTAGCCACTGGACCACCAGGGAAGTCCCTTCATTAATTTGTAAATTCATTTGTCTTTTTTTAAATTGGGGTAAAATGTCCATAAAATTTGCCTTTTTTTTTTTTTCAGGTATACGGTTCAGTAGCATTAAGTACATTCACATTGTAATATAACCATCACTGCCATCCATTTCTAGAGCTTTTCATCACCCCGTTAAACACTAGCTTCCCATTCCTGCCCTCCCCAGCCCCTGACAAACCCCGTTCTAGTTTCTGTCTCTCTGGGTCTGACTAGTCTCCACACCTCATAGGTGGAATTGTGTATGACTGATTTCACTTAGCATAATATTTTGAAGGTTCATCCATGTGGTAACCTGTCAGAATTTCATTCCTTTTTGAGGAACGTTGTACATTTGGAAAAATCACTTTGCTATGCAATTAAACCTTTCCTTTTGTCATTGGACGTTCTCATGGAGGATGGCCGTGTGTACTGTGCTAAGGACCATGCCCAGGGCTTCTGGACTCTGGTCAGGGGTGAGGCTTCCTTCAGTCGTGGGTCAGATGGAGCACGGCTTCGAGGGCCTGCTGGGCGTGGGTGGGCTCGGGTTTGTCCGAGGGAGCCCCCAGGGGACCGTGTGAGCCCGGGCCTGGGGCTGGGGGCAGAGGCCGCAGCCGGGGCGGTGTGCAGGTGCACGGGGAGAGCCACCAGCTGTGGCGCAGAGAGGCTGAGGCCCTTGAGCGCCTCACACGCCAGACTGGGGAGCAGCCTTGCTCCGAGGAGTTGGGAAGCTGTAAGGAAAATTGAGCGAGAAATAGCTGCAAATCGAATTGGCTGTTAAGAAAGTTAGTATTTTGATCGTGTGCAGAATGGAGTGGGGATGGGAGGAGATTGGAGGCTGGGAGGACAGGCAGGTTCTTTGCTCAGGTGGGAGCGGGCAGAGCAGCGAGCCTGGGGTGCAGACGTGGAAGGTGGACCCCAGGTCCGTGGCGGCTGTGGGAGAGAGGTATGGTGCCAGAGGCTCAGGACGCCACAGAATCCCTGCTCAGAACACCCGAGGGGTCGTGGCTGGGCAACAGGTGTTGGGCTCTGTGGCTGCGCTCACGTTGCCGGGGTCAGTGAGCATGGACTGGGCAAAGCTGCTCCATGCCTGGGATGGTGGCCCGCTGTGCCCAGCATTGGTCTTGAGCATGCCTGTTGGGAATCTGTGTGCACACCACTCTTCGGGCCAGGGCCAGGATCTGAGCAGAGTCTCTGCTACAGCCGGTGGTCTCCCTATGGTCCAAGGTCATGGCTTTTGCTCCTCTCAGTGCAGGAGGCTTGTCGCTCAGCCATGAAAACCCTCTCCCCTGGGGACTCGGTAGGAAGATTGTGGTCTTAGCTCAGCAGCAATTCTAGTTCAGAAAATGTTTGACAGAGTTGGTTTAGTGCATTTTCTAAAATGCAAATGTTAATCTAGTCACTTTCTTCAAGAACTGTTTTTGTTCCATTTCACCTTTAAGGCAACTCACGGAGGACCAGGGGCGATACGTTTCATCAGAGATTGGCTCTGAATATGATGAGTTACTTGTGTGCGTCTTTCTGTAATAAAGGAGCTTTGCTCAGATGTTAACCTGCCCCAGATGGCAGCATGGCTTTTCACAGGCTCTTTAGCCTGTTGGCATTGGACTTGAGACATCCTCTCATCTGGATCCCTTCCTCCAGAGTAGCCCACGATGGACTCACTCGTCCTGCTTTGCAAGCTGTCAGAGAAGGGCTTCCAGAACCCTGGCTCTGCCGTTCTAAAGTTGGTCAGGGGTGTGGTCAGGCTGCCGTCCTCCAGGCCATACCTCCGGAAGCAGCAGGCGCCCGCCCGCTCTTACCTGAGACGCACGGTCGTGGTGGGACCTGGCACTCAGGGTGTGAACTCCGTGACACGTGCTGAGTGTATCATACCCATGTTGTCCCCACTGGTAACACCTCTGTGGGTCACGGCCGTCCTAGTGCAAAGATGAGGAAACTGAGGCTCAAGCAAAAGCTGCTCTGAGCATGAGCCCCAGGTCCGCTTCTCATAAGAGGCCAGGCCTCCCCACCCACCCGCAGGCTTGCTCGCAGCCCGCCCTGTTTCTGGCCTCCCAGGACCTCTCACGAATGGCCAGGCAGCCTCTGTGCTGCGCTTCTGCTCCACATCCAGAGCGGAAACTTGGCTCCCGAGCCCAGAGTCACCCAGGAATGGTCCAGGCGGCCGCTGGGCCTGTGTAGAGATGCCTTTATTAATCAAGTCATAGCCTGAGGCTCTTGCTCAGGTCCTCGCATGAATGGATTCTGGTCCTTATGTGTTGGATGCTGGTAAAACCAGTGATCCTCCAGAAGGACTGTGCTCCGATGGGTTTCACGAGGGTTGGGGCAGTTCTGTAGACCAGTTCTGATGACCATTTTTTCAGCCGTGACATTCTCTATGTGCTGTTAAGAGTGAGTCCTAGGAGACTAGAAGTTCGTTTTCCGACTTTAAGAACCAAATAAGAGTAGAAACTCAGCCGCTTTTATAGCTCTGTTGTTTAGCTGCTAAGTTGCGTCCAGCTCTTGGCAGCCCTGTAGACTGTACCCCCGGACTCCTCTGTCCACGGGATTCCCAGGCAAGAATAGTGGAGTGGGTCGCTGTTTAGGCTCTAAGTTCATTCTCTGACTTTGAGAACCAGATGAGAGTAGAAACTCAACCTCTTGTATAGCTTAATACTCATTGATCAGCATCAGCCAGTGAGAGAGGTGTGTCCACATTTATAAGTTATCCTTTGCTGTGTCACACATTACTCCAGAACTCGGAAGTTTAAATTAAGTGTGAACGTGTATCGTTTCACAGTTCTGGAGGTTAGGACTTTGGGGATGACTTACAGGGATGGTCCTGGCTTCGGGCATTTTTTGAGGTTAGTGTCCAGACGTCCACCTGAGCTGCAGTCTTGTGACGGCTTGAGTGGGGAGAGAAGACCCCTTCCAGGGGGCTGCTCACATCGCCACCAACTTTTGAAAGAGACCTCTGTTACCTGGCCTGCACGTCTGTGCATGGGACGGGGGGGGGGGTGAGTCGCCTGGCAGCATGGGTGGTTTCCTGGAGACAGCAGGGTGGGGGTCACCGCACACCCGTTAAGACCCTGCCTCAGCACCCCAGATCATCATTTGTGAAGGCTTCTGTTGGTCACACAGGTGGGCAGAGACCACACAGGGTGAAACACAGCTCATCTCCTCCTGGCTTCTGTGAATCTTCAGCATAATTTTGCAGAAGGAAACAAGCCTGGAAGCAGGGGGTAGATGACCTTACACCAGCCAAGCTTCAGGAATCTTGAAATGATAATTACACCTTTTCCCAGTGATCCCTGAGTTGAGAATGCTCAGAGGAGCAGACCATATGTCTGACCCGTGGCGATCAGAGCCCCAGCCTCCTGGCTGGCAGTAGATTGAGCAGGTGGCCCCAGTCCCTGCTCCTTGTGTGAACCTTGGGACAGGCTGCCCCGGGAAGAGTTGGGTGTGTAAGGAAGAGTTTCCCTGCAGTCCAGCCTCATCCCGCTCAGTCCTTGGCCGCTCGTGGACCTTTATGCGCGTTCAAGCGCTGGTCACAGCAGGTCTCTACTCAACAGGGGACGGTAGCGGTGTGAGTCGTTTTACCACCATCGCAGGCAGATTTGTGCTCTGTCAACATCTGAGGCATGCACACTTGCTTTGCCTGACTCTGAGCAGCTGTAACTGAGCCCCCACCTTCTCTCTCCCTCCCCCACTTCTACTGTCATCATTCTATCACCTGCCTCTGCCTCCCTCCTCCCCTCCCTCCATCATCTATCATCCTCTCCCTGCCTCCTCCCGCCCCTCATCATCTGTCTATTCCCCCATCTGTCTACCATCCGTCTATTCCCCCATCTATCTTTCATTTATTCTCTCCCCCCGCCATGTATCGTCTCTCTCTCTGCTCTGTCAACAATCTGTCTACCATCTGTCTATTCCCCCATCTATCTTTTATTCTCTCCCCCCCCATGTATCATCTCTCTATCTGTTCTCTCACCCATCTATCTACCCACTATCTATCTCATTCATCTATCTACCATCTATCTATTGCCCCGTCTATCTGCCATCTATCATCTATTCCCCCAGCTACCTTTCATTTATTCTGGCTACCTGCATGTGTCATCTCTCTATCTGTTCTGTCACCCAACTATCTACCATCTATCTATTCCCCCGTCTATCTACCATCTATCTGTTCTCTGCCCCATCTATCATCTACCCCCGCATCGGTCCATTGTGTCCTCTCTCCCCGCATGGACCATCTCTCTGCTCTGAAGCCTGACTGTCTGTCCTCTCCGCCCTGCAGACACCGGGTGGTGGTCTCCTACCCACCGCAGAGCGAGGCAGAGCTGGAGCTCAAGGAGGGCGACATCGTGTTCGTGCACAGGAAGCGGGAGGACGGCTGGTTCAAGGGCACGCTGCAGCGGAATGGGAAGACGGGGCTCTTCCCTGGGAGCTTCGTGGAGAACATCTGAGGAGCGCCGGGGCGGGACCGCATCTGTCTCCACCTCCCTCCGATGGCCTGCGGGCACTTCGCCCCTTTCCGTGGCCACCTGCCACCTGCCTTGTGCTGTCTGATTCACTCCACAGAGGCACCTAGCTGAGACGGACAACTGTTTACAAGGCTTAACTAATTTATTTGCTTTTTTAAACTTGAATTTTTCCTGTAATAGATGAATTCTTTGGATTATGATTTTGAGAAGTTATTAATTTATGGAACAGTAGCCGATGAGAGGCTGGGTGACCCCCTGTTGGGAGCAGCAGAGTCCCCTCGGTGCAGAAGATGCCCCAGGGCTTCCCTGCTGGCTCAGTGGTAAAGGCGGCCCCACCCTCCCGGGCTCACTCCCCCGCTTTGGGTCACAGATGCCGGGTGTCGCGCTTGGCTGTCTCTCTGGGAAGTCAGCGCCCGCAAGTGAACCCAAGGCACTGAGGGAGTCCCCGGGTGGCGAGGTGGGAACCTGTCTTTCTGGTTGGGCCTGGAGTCACCCCAGAACCCAGTCCTCACTTTAATCGTGAGGGTCTCCGATTTCCTAGGAGGAGGGATAAAGCACAACCCTTGGGGAGCTCGTGTTCAGAGATAGGTTTAGTTGCATTAGAAGCGGCTCAGCTCTGTGGCTGGACATCGAAGAACCGCGGTTGCGCCCTGTCTGCGGACAGCCCTGCATGTCCCCGCGCTGTCACCGCAGGCGGCCTCCGTGTGTGGTGCAGAAGGGCCCCCTGAGGGCCACAGGCGTTCACGGGGCGCTTCCCATGCCCCCCACCCCCGGGTGGGGCTGGACCCCACACAGAGGCCGCAGGGGACGCCGCGGCCCTGCGGCTGGGCCGGGCAGCCCCTCGTCTGCCCAGGTCACCCCGAGCTCCTGTCCCCAGGCGGCCGAGGCCAGGGCTGCGCCCCTTGCAGGACACGGGTGGGCTGAGCCCACAACGCCCACCGCCCCCACCCCAGCCAGCCACATAGCCTGGCCCAGGGCCCCTCGCAGCCGAGCCAGGGAAGGGGCCTGGCAGCGGCAGAGGCTGCGACCACAGTTTTCTCGTGAGAAAGCAGAAACAAAACCCTTCTCATTTTTTACCTTTAAGAATTACAACTAGGGAGTCAAAACATGAACTGAGAGTCTTCTTGCAAGCAGTTTTATGGTCTTAAAGAGATATATTATGTGGCTGAAATGAAATCATTCCTAAATTAACCATTTTTTATAAGACACTGTACATTATGTTCCTGTGTATTGAATTTTTAAAAAAAAAAATACTGGGATATTCATGTAATATATAAAGTTTTGGTGAAATGAACTTCAGCTAGAAAAAAAAAGCTGCCATCAGCTTTCATCTGTGTAAGTTGACACCAATGTGTCATAATATTCTTTATTTTGGGAAATTAGTGTATTTTATAAAAATTTTAAGAAGTAAAAAGACTACTACCGGATAAGATCACTTTTTTACCTGTCTTTTCTCCATATTTTAAGCTATGTGATTGAAGTACCTCTGTTAATAGATTCCTGGTATGAAGTTGGTTAAAATTTCATCTGTTAATAGATCACTTAGATAATATAATGTATGGGTTTTCTGTTGGTTTTTGGGCACAGTAGATGGAGACTTTGTAACAAGGGCTTGTTACTTGGTGATAGGGTAATGATAAAATTGCAGTTTATCATTCCTTTTCATGTTAATAATTTGAAGACTGGAGAAAAGGTTCAAGATTAAAATTTGATGTTCAAACTTTATGACTCCTTTACTTTTTTCTTTTCTTTTTTAAACATGGGACACATTTGACATCATTTCTACTTCATAAAAATTCTTTGCCTGTGCCTCAGACAAATGGCATCTACAGTAGTCAGCTTGCTGGCTGTGATACACTTTAGCCCTCCAGTCCGCAAAACTTGTTAGTTATAAAGTCCTCTTAAAAGAGTGTGTGGCATCTCACCAGGGAGTGGGTGACATGCCTGCTGCCCTTTCCCCATTCATGGTGGCTCAATCATCTGGTGACTCCACAAGTTTTTCTTAGCTACAGGAGTACCAGACCTAAACCATCTGTGGCACAGCCTGTAGGTCTCAGCAAGGCTTGGGAGCATCGTCTGCAGACTCACTGTGACTTTAATCTCCCCTGGAAACCAAAAAGTCCTAAGTTTAAAAAGACTGTGTCTACCAGGTTAAAAATATATGTATTTTCCTAATTTAATTTTTGTCGTTGAGTTGCTAAGTCGTGTCCAATTCTTTGTGACTCTGTGGACTGTAGTCTGCCAGGCTCCTCTCTCCATGGGATTCTCCAGGCAAAAATACTGGAGTGGGTTGCCGTTTCCTTCTCCAGGGGATCTTCCCAACCCAGGGCTCAAACCTGTATATCTAACATCTCCTGCATTGGCAAATGGTTCTTTACCACTAGTGCCACTTTAGTTTTGCCAAAAGTGACCTCTGTAACCAGGCGAGCGAGACAGTGATGACTTAGTTTCCTCCTGTTTCTGCCCCGTCTCCTCCCTGGGTTACAGTGAGGAGGAGGAAACCACAGCCCTGTATTGAAAAGTGCTGTTTTAACGTGTGCATTGTTTTCACCTCCGCTTTCAAATATTTCACTTTATTCTCCCAGAGTGTACGCTTGTAGCCTTGGCTGAATCTGACTGCATTTAGAAGGAGCAAGTGAAGGTGGTATTTCCCACTGTGGTGCATGTACATTTCTGTTCCTAGTGAGAACAGGGCAGTGTTTTCATCCTCCAAAACTCAGCTAATTATTTCAATCAGAGCTCTTTACAATATTAGAGTTCAAGTTTAGGAAATGCTTTTAATAGCTATTACAATAAGTTGTAAGCTCATTGTGTGTATCTGTGTGAAATTTTAAAAAATGGTTTCAAGCAGTAAAATGATGCTCTTATTAAGGTAGCAGCCTATTCACATTGTTCCTTTCCAAGAAGAATGTGCCAGCCCACCAGAATGGAGGGGATGTCCCATAAGGGTTGCCATGTCCAGGCTGAGCGTGGGCTTGCCTTTCCTTGACTCCTGTGAACACCTGGCTCTGCCCCTGGTGGTGAATTGCACCAGAGACTGGAAGGAGCTAATAGGCGGCTGGTGTGAACTGTGGATGTCTGAAAATGCCCTCTTTCTGGTTTACAAGGGAATATTTATTTTACTTCTCTTGTCTTTCCTGCTAATAACTTTTATTAACTTTCTGACATGGCTATTTAGGTTTCTATCTTTAAAACAGCACCGTGATCTCACTTGATGCCAAGTCTTGTTCTGCAGCCATCCTGACCCAGGAGCCCTGATGGCGAGATCTGCAGGTGGCAGTGGTCTTCGAGCCGCCATCCTGTACCACGGTCACAGGTCAGACGACCTGGGTGATGTTCTAAGGCCCAGAGGTGCAGAGTGATCAGTGAGCCACTGCAGTTGCCCGCAGCTTAGAGGAGAAACCCGGTTCCAGAAGGCTTTGACCTCAAGTTGAATCTTTCTGTGTCTGAGACCTTTGTAAAAGCACTAGAAGAAACCAGGGGAGACTTCCAAGTGACACCTTCCTAAGTGTGACTTAAAAGCCAGAAGCCATAAAAAAAGAAAACAGGGATAACTTCAACTACAGAAAACATACGTACATGACAAAGACCTTAAAGTCAACAGAAAACAGTAGGAAAAAATTTGTAACTCTTACAGTAGACAAGGATTTCTTTATATATAAAGAGCTCACGGGACTCAATAAAAGTGAAAATCCAAAAGTAAAATTGACAAAGAATGTGTGACAGAAACTGCCAATTGCCTCTCAATATCTGTTGCCCTCTTCCCCCTTATTAACTGATTCCTGGGTGATGCCCTCAGCTGAAAAGCCCCAGGTTCCAATCTCCTTCAGATACAGCCACGTTACTGAGTTATTGCTGAGATGGAAGCAAAGTGTCAAAGGGAACTTCTGTGAAGCTTCTAAAAGGGAGGAGGCACACACCCTCTGGCTGTTTTCTTTTTCCTTCTTGCAGCCTGCAGTGTAGACATGATGGCTGGTGCTCCAGCAGCTATCTTGAGTCATAAGTGACCTTTAAGATGGGAGCCACATTTTAGCATGATGGGGGAGAAAGAGAAAGAAAGAAGATACTTGAGATCCTTATAACCTCCCAGCCTTCAGGCCAACCTTAACTACTCATCTTCAGATATGGTCTATGTGAGAATAAACCCCATGACTGTGGTCTGATCTCTCACCCACAGTCAACCTGATGCCAGTATTACCTAGCGGTTCCTCAAAAAATGAATGCAAATATACTGAAAGATGATCTACCTCATGTAGATGTGCATGAGCAACTATGAAATATCTTTCATCTATGAAATCAGAAACTAAAAAAATTAGAAATTAGAAGCATGTATTTTGCTGATGAAAATGTGATTTGATTAAAAAAAAAAAAATCTAGGGAGAGCAGTCTGGAAAATATCAAAATTGCAAATGCATTCACCCGTTCTGAGAATCTGTTTTCCAGAGGCCCTTATTTGTCAAGTGTAAAATGCCAGTACCTTGTCGATCACAGCAAAATATTGGCAACAACCCGCGTCTAGCAATTGGACACTGGTGATGTTTGTGCAGAGAAAGCTTCACAGCCGTCACGAGCTATGCAGGTAGGGGACAAAGATGAGGCAGAATGCTCCACCGCTTAGTGAGAAGTCAGGAGGTGGGGAAGAAGGCGTGCGTTAGCTGTTAGCTCATGCTTGATGCACTGTCTCTGGCAGGAGACAAGGGGAATTGCCGGGGCGGTGGTATCCAGCACTCAAGATGGGACCCGTGCCAGCTTCCTTCCTGAGTCTCCCCTCGGACAGACAGAGAACCTCAGCTCCTGGCCTGTGGGGGTCACAGAGTCAGAGGGATGAGCAGACATTGGAAATGCTTTAGAGAGTTGAGATCTGAGAAATCAAGGGATACCCACTTCAGAGAGAAATATCGATCATCTCACTACTGGTCAAGAGCAGACAGGAAAACAACATCACTGAGGAAGAGAAGCACCGCCCCAGGTGTCCACCGCTGCTGTGAGTGAGAGCTCACTGTCCATAAGAGCCCAGAGTGTGCCTGACATGATTGTCCACAAAGGATCAGCTTTGACTCCTCCGTTACTTTGAGAACTTGAGAGCCAGCTGACTTGTTTCATGGTACAGTGGATTCCATGAAGACCTTCCAAGATAAAATATACTCATACCCAGATCAGCAGTGGGGTTCTTCTTGGGCCCCTGTGTGTGTTCCCAAGTGCAGAACCCTGAGAAGTCCCTGCCATGGTCCGGAGCCAGGGGAAAGGCCACCGTAAGAGTCTTACGGTGCAGGCTTCCAGACTTGGGGCTCATCGAGGACGGGTGTGAGACAAGCAGGCTTCTGCTAGTGCTGTCAGTCCAGGTGTTCATGTGGACGGGAAGGCTGAGTTGTTGGCAAACCCCCTCAATGCCCTGCATCACCCAGCAAACAGACTCAGGTATGCAGCACGAGCTTGTCGTCCAGGTGGATGAGCAAGCGTTCCCTGCTGGCCGGACTCCATCTCCCGGACCTCACGTGCTCCCTTTGGCCCATGCGGAATCAAGGGTCCCTTGACCTGCATGTCACACCCTCTCAGCGCAGACGCTGGGGCCAGAAGATAAGGAGGAGTTAAAAAGAAATAGAAACCAAGCCCTCCTCATGGAGCAGAAAGTGAGCAGGGAGGATATAAAATTCAGAGTGTCTTTGCTGGCCCCGGCCTTCCTCCAGCTCTTTCCGTAGCTTCTCTAGCTCACACTTTAAGGAGCTCCATTATTTTTGTAAGTGGAGTCCCTGAAAGACCTAATATCAAAGGAAATCAGTATGCCACAGCCTTCCGGCCCTTAAATCTAGACACCTAGTGATAGCTAGAAGAATCTAAAGGCAGTTGAACATTTGAGTTGCTGTGTTCAGGCTGGGGATTCTGAATATAGGTGGGCATAGGGGAGAAATAAACACATCAGTGTTTGTTCTCCAGAGCAGTGCCATCCATCTGCTCTGGCGAGTGACGAGGTGTCTCATACCTGCACCTTTTAGTCTGAGCACCGCCCGTCTCCTGTGGCTGCCGTGACCAAGGAACTGAATCCCTCTAATCGGGTTGCATTTTGTTGTTGTTTAGTAGGTGAGTCATATCCGACTTTGCGATCCCATGCACTGCAGCACGCCAGGCTTCCCTGTCCTTCACTATGTCCCAGAGTTTGCGCAAACTCATGTCCATCGAGTTGGTGATGCCATCCAACCATCTCATCCTCTGTCACCCCCTTCTCCTGCCCTCAACCTTTCCCAGAATCAGGGTCTTTTCCAATGAGTCACCTTTTTTGCCAAAGTATTGGACCTTCAGCCTTAGCATCCGAAGTTTCAATATAAATAGTCACACATCGCTAAGAATTGGGCAGAGTGACAGATTTGAGTCAGGAAGAGAATTGAGGGCCCCTAGGCCTGTGGTGTATGGAGTAGATGCTGCTTCTCTGCGGACAGAGGCCAGTGAGTCCTCCGCGGTTGCCCCACATCTTCCAAGTGTGTCTTCACATGAAGCTGAGTTCACAAAGGGCCACATGGATGAACACGTGACTCTCTGGGGCTGTCAGGGCAATGGTCAGGGGATCTGCCTTCTGTGAACTAATGAAAGTTGTCAGCAGACTGGGGTTGAGCTTTATAGAGAAAACAGAATTTGAGCCCTGTAATTACACATGAAACGGTCCCCTCCCCTGGGAACAAGGCCATGCTTCTCACTCCCCCCCACCCTCACTCCCCCCCACCCCCAAAAGG